TGAAGATCTTAAAGAAAAGTCGGATGATATTTGAGAAAGAATGAGTTCTTGGCTTGAAAATGGTAAAAATGACTAAAATGACTAAGTGTCATATTTATACCCATTAGAGTTTACGGCCATAAACTCCATTTTGGGCCGTAAACTCCAAACTCTTGGAGTTTTGTGACTTAAATGTTGCACAAATAACTCTAAAGTATACTTCCTATAATTACCTCTTGAAGGTACTAGGCTTTAGAACACTCAAACTGACTCTAAACAGCTTAAAAGTTAGCAGAAACAAATCTGACTTCTATTGAAGTGAATGGTTGTACAAGATAGAAATTTCGGGTTGTCACATTAATGAACCACCACGACATGGTGATTGCGCCACGATGTGGTAGTGGCTGTTGGGGAAAACCCCAAAGTTTAAGGGCTGAGCCCTATTTAAAGATCCTTACCCCCCTTATAGCCTTCTCCCATCAGCCTCCATCTCTCAAAATCGTCCCTTGCAAACCCTAGAGCCATTTTGTGATTTTTAGCCTTAAAAGTGTGATTTTTTGGTGCTTGTGAAGGAAAAGGTGGTGGAAGATCTCATTAGGAGTCCAAGCCAAAGAAGATCCAGGAGTTCACCGTCCTCTAGCATCTCAAGGAGGTATAAAGTCTTCATCTTGATGAGTTTATGAGTAGATCTATGGATTTTTTCCTTTCTTTCTCTAGGTCTTGTTGCCTTGGGTTGTTGAACTTTATAAAGCTTGCAACTTTACGAGTCTCCATGCCATTTGGAGTATTTGGCTCTTTGGATCTAGTCTAGAATTGAGTTTGAGGGTCATGCATGAAATCTTGGCTTTTTTGCCCTATTTTGACCTAATAAGAGTTCAAGACACGCATTGGACATGTATGTCTAAAAAGAACCGACTTTTATGGTGTTAGGGACTCTCTTGTAGCTTTTGGTCAAGAACCCCTTGGTTTGGACGATTATTGGTGAAGCCATGAAGTGTTTTACACTTTAAAAGTCGACATCTATGCATTTGGAGGGTTCTATTGGATAAAGTTGGAAACCTTATCCATATAGACCCAACTTTGGACCAGATCTGAGTTGGAGACCTTTTGGAATCAAATGAGGTGGCTGAATGCAGTAAGCTGCTGAAAACCTTGTAACCACGATGTGGTAAGGCCACTGCGACGTGGTGACGGGGTGGTTCACGACTGTTTTGTCGTATCCAGCACCACGACGTGGTACAAGGGTACCACGACGTGGTAGTCAAGCTGAGCTGACTTTTCTTGATCTCTTGACCTTTTAGCTAAGTTTGACCTTGAAGGTACTTTGGGTATTTTGGGATTTTGATGGAAATTGGTCACTTGGTGGTTGTAGGCATTGAGTAGAGAGCCGAGATTCGGAGTCGGGCCTTGTCAGATCTTTGCAGCTTGTGAGATGAGTTGTCCTCACTGTACTTATGGGTCAAAGGCACCAATACCGGCCCTTTGGATTGTTATCCTGGTTTATCGTATGATTGAGTATTGTGGTGATCTATTAGATCTGCATCCTGGTAGATAGGATGATGTTATGCTTAGTGATCTGTTAGATCTGCCTGTTATCTGTCCTGGCTATATGTTTATCGATCGCATGTGTTGATGTAGTATGGTTGGGTTGAGGCGGTCCTGGTTAGTGCTGAAGGCCAACAAACCCAGGGTGAACCGAATAGGTTGAAGGCCAGTGAGGCGTACCAGTCAGGCCGAAGGCCCGGAGAACGGTCCAGATAGGCTGAAGGCCCGGTGAGGCGGTCCAACCATGCTGAAGGTTGAGATTCGGAGTCGGGCGTTGCCAGATCTGTGCAGCTTGTGAGGTGATTTGTCCTCACTGTACTTATGGATCGAAGGAACCAATGCCGGCCCTTTGGATTGTTATCTTGGTTTATTGTATGATTGAGTACTATAGTGATCTGTTAGATCTGTATCCTGGTAGATAGGATGATGTTATGCTTATTGATCTGTTAGATCTGCATGTTATCTGTTCTGGCTATATGTTTATCAGTCGCATGTGTTGATGTAGTATGGTTGGGTTGAGATTGTACTACTTTGTGCTACCAGTCAACAAGCCCGGTAATATTTATATCGGTATGTTATATGTATGCTTATATGTTATGTATATGTCGACATGGTTTGTGTGTGTGGTTGAGTTGAGGCGGTCCTGCTTTGTGCTGAAGGCTAACAGTCCTAGGGCGGAACATATAGGTTGAAGGCCAGTGGGGCGTACTAGTTAGGCCGAAGGCGCGGAGAACAGTCCAGTTAGGCTGAAGGCCCGATAAGGCGGTCCAGCCATGCAAAAGGTTTTGTGAGCGGTCCAGATAGTCTGTAGGCCGGTGGGGCGTTTCGGTCAGGCTGAAGGCTCTGTATGCATGTTGCTTGTGGTATATGTTGTCTGTTTTGTATTGGTACTTTGGGAGAAACTCACTCAGCTTTGTGCTTACAGTTTTTGGTTTAAGGTTTCAGGTATTTCAAAGATTTGTGGCAAGGCGAAGGCGTGACCGTACACATCCTGATTTTATGTCATTGATCTTGGGAGACACTGATTTTCAAATAATGTTTTGAGAACACCATTTTGTAACATTTTATTAGTAAAAGGATCGTTTTGAAAAGTTTAAAGTTGTTGAAATTTTTTACATGTTACAATGATAGTGGTCGGATCGATTAATTTTATGTTTGCTTTCATCCATTGTTTAGACTTATTGGTTCTATAGGATTTTCTGAGCAAAATTTTCAAGTAAACTTTCAATTTTTGAAAATTTTTCCTGGTTAAGAAGAAATTTAAACTCTTCCTCATTCTCCCCCATTTAAAAGGCAATTTTTCTTCAATTTTGCTTTGAGAGATGTTGACAGGTTATGGTTTTTTAATTTTTGAATTATTTTTCATCGACTCTAAAAATCTAGGTTTTCCATTTCTATAAGTGTTTGTGATTTTATCAACAATGATTTGAACGCCATTGTTGTGGAAAGTAACTTTTATGAGATTTTGTACAAATGGTCTATACAAAAAACAAAATTTATTTCCTAGGATGAAATCTATTCCACATTCTTGTTGGTATACAGAGGGGATATGGAAGATTTCTCCGGCAAGTCTTATCTGTAAATCAACACATTTTTTGTTGATAATTACAAGCCATTTGTTGTAGCAACCTTTATAGGTTTTGGAGTGTTAATCCATTGTTCTTCTGGAATAACATATTTACTTGCGATACAAAGACTAGCTCTTGTATCAATATAACAATTTAAATCAATTTGTTTATATCCGGCGAATCTAAATGTACCTTTAACATAGATTGAATTAGGATTTGTGATAATTAGTATCACATTTTTAGAGTTCATGACTTTTGAATCAGTTTGAATCAGTTTCTGATTCTGTAGATGAAGAAGATGATGATTCATCAAGAAGTTCTTCAATCAATGGGTAGACGATTTTTTCATCTTGAAATTGTTCTTCTACAGGCCTAAGGTCCATAGATGACGCTATTTCAAGGAGTTTAACCTTTTGTGGGTAATCTTTCCTATTAGGACACTCATTGGCATAATATCTAGTATTTTTCTTTTTTGAAAATCTTTTATTGTTCTTTTTTTAATATTTATTAAAAGATTTCTTTGAAGATATTGTATGGGTAATTTTGCATCCATACTCTAAGGGTTTTTCTTTTGTTAAATGATTACGACAGTTTTTGTTAAGACGTTTTAGTCTTTTTTGTGTGTATGATAGATTACAAATTTTTTTAATCTCATCAATAACAATTCTCTTAGCAAAAGCAAGACTGTAAATTGTGGCATTTGTAGATTCGGTTATAAATCTTTTATGATATTGTTGTCCTACAATATGATTTTTTTAATAAATATTGTTTGAACAAGTCAAGATATAGAGTTGAAGAATTTATTTTGTAAATATTTGTTTCATAGTCACAGGTGTAATGATCTAGAAAGAAAATATCACATATGGTGATATTCGTAAGTCTGGATTTGGCTTTTTCAATCTCTCTTTTTTGTTCATTGGCTTTTTATTCTATAAGATATCTACCAAGGAACATCATGTAGATGGCATCAAGCATGTCTTGGAATATTGTCATTGGATTATTACTAATCCAGTTTGTATTTTTGATAAAATTTTGAACTATTCCTGATGTTTTATGGTCAAACAATAAACGGATAGATTCTTTTGCTGCATATTTTTCTTTGTTAGTCTGAATGATTAGACTTATTTACGAAGTCCATTTGTTGATAACTTCTTTTGTATTTGTTCAATGTTGTCAATATTGAGAATGTTTGTTCCGAACTGGTTTGGATTTCCAGTGGAAAAATCTAGCATAGAGCCAGTTCTATGACCTTGTTCAGTTTTAGGTATTTTTCTTCTTTCACCTTGAAAAGAATATTCTCCTGGTTGATCGAATTGTGGTTGGGTATTATTCATCCTGAAGTTAGGCTCTATATTAGAAGAAAGAGATTCTACTTCTTCTTCTGAAATATATACATAAGTTTCTTTGTCAGATGTTTCTTTTATGACGTTAATCGTTTCGTCAAAATGTAAAAGTTGTTTAAGTTCCTCAGATGTAGAGATTTCTAAGTTTATTGTATCCTTTCCTTTGGATTCAACAAGATCTAGTAACCTAAGAGTTTGATCAAGAATCGAGACATTTGATCCATTGTTTATTAATTCTTCATTTTCATAAGTATCCCAGAAGAATTTTTCTACTCTAGATAAATAGTCTATCATGTTGACTTAAAGTAGTCTTTATGCCATGACATAGAACTGTGATTCCTTGATGATCCTAGTTCTACATTTCCTACATTTTAATTAGGGTATGAGTACTTACTAGTGAACGGATTTTTATCTTTAGTTTTAGGATCTAAAATTGTAGTAGTTTTATTGACTATTTCAATAATTTCTTTGTTGCAAGAACATTTTTGAAGTTTTGTTTGCGTTTCATTAATAATTTTAGCAGCGATGGCTTCTAATTGGTTTGTAGTTACTAAGCCTTGGTTAATCATTTGATCAATCTTTTCAGATAGTTTTTCAACCTTTTCATTTAATTGATTAAGTGATTCCTTGATGTCTACCATAGATGTTATCATCCCATAAGTTGTTTCATTTGATTTTTCACTTCTTTTAATCTAAGATTAAAATCTTTCATTTGGTATGTAAGAACAGCTTTATGAACAACTTCTTTTAGTAGATCATCGAAGTTTTTAGAAAATTTATTAAAAGTTTCTAGTAGTTTTGAGTTATGTTCTATTATGTTGTTCATTTTTTCTAACTGAGCAAAAAAATTTCAAACTAATTGTTATCAACATCTTTCAAAGAAAAATTGAAGAAACTTTGACTTTTAAAATGGGAGAGAATGATGAAGAGTTTAAATTTCTTCTTAACCTGGAAAATTTTTCAAAAATTGAAAGTTTACTTGAAAAACGTTTGCTCAGAAAATCCTATAGACCCAATAAACTCTAAACAATGGATGAAAGCAAACATAAAATTAATCGATCCGACCACTATCATCACAGTTAAACCTATGAAATACAGTCTGCAAGATGTTGAAGAATTTAGTAAACAAATCAAAGAACTTCTTGAAATAAAGGTAATCATTCCAAGTAAATCTCCTCACAGATCTCCCTCTTTCCTTGTTGAAAATGATGTGGAAATAAGAAGAGGAAAGAAAAGAATGGTAGTTAGCTATAAAGCTATTAACAAAGCAACTATAGGTGACAACCATAATCTCCATAATAAATATGGACTTCTCACCCTTATTACAGGAAAACAATATTCAGTTTTTTCGACTGTAAATCTGGCCTTTGGCAAGTTTTACTTGACAGTGAGTCACAACGCTCAACAGCTTTCATATGTCCCCAAAGACATTACCAATGGACTGTTGTACCTTTCGGTCTAAAACAAGCTCCATCTAATCACCGAGGGGCCCATACAGATCGCTTTTACTGGTAGAGCAAAAAGAATGAATTACTTTGACTATATAGTCATACAATGTACATATCAAATCACACATGGAATAAACCTTTATAACATCCAGTTACGAGATGCGTTTGAGCAAACCAATGCATAACTTATTTGTAAACTATGAACTATATTTCTCTTCTTTAAGAATAGAAGATATTAACGTCTTAGAATTACTTGTGAATGAATCCATGAAGTAATCTCTAAGTGTGAGTTTATCTAATACTTAAAATCTCTATTTTCAAAGTACTCATGAATATTGTAGCAGTTCCAATTGCAATGTCTTAACCTCAATCTGCAATCTATAATTAATGCATGACAATCTTAATTCACTACTTGCTTCCAAAAGTATAAATGATTTTTGAATTTTTAATAATATTATAAATTACTCAGCAAAAAACATGCAAAATGAAACACAATAATAAATTAATTGACTATGGTATCACCCATTGATTATAAATAAATATCTATTATTTAATCACCATAACAATTACAAATTTATTCATGTATAATGTTTCGAGTAATCAACTAACCACTTGAATTAGATAACATCAGTCATACCATGTTATAAACATGCATACTATGCATCTAGATGGTCCTTCCTTTGTAAATAGATTGATTAGATATTAGTCCAATGATGGTCAATTCACGATTCCAAATTCCTACCACTATCTAAGATGTAGTGAAATTTCATCTTTACATGCATTTTCTTTCTGTGATGTCAAGGTTCTTGAGTCATAGAGACCGAGCCTTCGAAATTATAGAATGTCCCACTAGAACTTCTTACTAGAAACAATTCCATGGTTATGAAGTCTCAAATTCAAGATACACTCCTTGAACACTTCTCTTGCATTAAAGTTTCCAACTCACATGTAGATTTTGCAAACATCTCCCATTACGTAAACATTTCCATGTTCCCATATGAACATCAATTCCAACCAAGAATCAACTTAATCTAAAACGTGTCACTATGGTCCTTCCCAAATAATTTCATACTTCTAACTATCCACAAGCAACCAATCTTCGATAAAACCTAAGAATATTATTGACAGTGGTTTAACAACCTTAGTCACACAAAATTTTAATCCTTTTCACACAATGCTCTAGGCATTTGAAAAATTAGTATAAGTGAATATTATAGTATATGTAATCGATCTTATATCTGAAGTATATGGGACTCGACTCATTATGTCCTATACAAGGATTTAATATCTGTTCAATTCCTAACTATAATATTTCTATATATGGAATCTCCTATGTTGACACACTTCAACATGATATTCATATATGTCTTTGACTAAGTTCTATTATACAATACGATCTAAACCTTTAGACTCGAGATGAAGTCCACTATAGCGAAACATTTTCCGAACTATGCAATTTACAAAAACAAAGAGATTGTTCCCTACGAATAGTATTGTCAACATGCAATACTAGCATAAAAATGATGCTCCCACTAGCTTTGACATGTACCAAAAAATCAACTGGACTTCCAGAAATCAATACCCTTTGACTTTCTTAAGGAAGTGTAGATTTATGTTATGTTATGCTTCGATTAAGTCTCCAACTAGACTTTTTAAGCTTACACACCTTTGTTGGATAATGTGTGTGTATTTAAACCCTTTCAATACTGATATATATCTCTCAAAAGTTCAAACAATTCCTTGCCATTCTTCACAACTCGAAATATGAAGAGGGATGTCGTAATCATATTATGAATTTGAGAATGCAATTTACACAATTAATATCCATATAGATCAGATTTTCAAAGTCTATCAGCGAAAGTATTTCCTCATAAACATATTCATGCATATGTTCCTATCCATATGAATCTATCAATTCCAAACGACGGTTATAAGACAAGGTTTAGGACAAACCAAAATCAAATTCCTTCATGGATTGAACTTCTCTATTTTTTAATTTCTTGCCTTCTGGCAGCTTAAGGGCCCACCAGTGCTTCCATGTTGTTAGTAGCTCACCCATATTGATCAGTATACTTTTACTGACCAACGTGCTTTTCCTTTTGCAGTTAAATGAAGAACATAGAAGTCATAAGCATTGCTAACTCAACTGGAAGTACATAAATTAAAATATGTCAATTAAAAACAACATTTTATAAACCTTAGGTTGCGTGCTAGTGATAACTAAAAGAATCATTGTCATTTGACTCTTGTAGGTTCTTAAGATCAATATGACTCCTATTGACTTCTTGAAATATAAGTTTCTCTCTCAAGGAACATTCCTTGATGATCTAAAAATATTCAAAAGTCCATGCATATTCCTGACAAAAAAAACACTCCATAGAATATGACTCAATTTATCTTTTGTTTCTTGATCAACGAAAACATCAAAACTACAATTCAAAATGTGCTAGAGTAAGGAAATCATTCTCTACTCCACATAGTATGAGGTGTTATCATCCTTCTTAGTTTGAAATGAGTTTTAAGATACGATTTATAGTTACTAGATCATGACTCTAAAACTTGATTGGAACAAAGTATGACTCATCTTTGATCGAACCATTTCCAACAATGTTCGATTCTTCTTCTTACTCATACAATTTCACTAAGATGTTCTTTGATGATTAATTGTAATACAATTCCACAATTACTAAGATGATGATAAAACATGATACTAAAGCACTCTCCTTTCCTTTCAGATTGGAGAATCTATTATCTTTCTTCCTAATAGATTCTTTCTATTCATTCTGTCACTCTTTGAACCTTTTTCAAAAGTATTAGAATTATGTTTAATCTTATAAACATAATCATATTTGTTGAAGCATCAATAAGTCATGACGATTAGAGTTATCTTCTCTTGTGGTGGATCTGAAGAGTCCATATCAACATGTACTAGATCCATTAGTCATTCACTTGCATCACATAAATATGTTAACAACAAAATAGTAATAATTTTCCAATAAACAAGATTCTCATCCACCATGCAATTTCAAATTGTATAACTCCAAGTTTCTGTCCAATTGAAACTTGGTGATGAGATTTCTTTTCAATTGGTCAAAAATGATAATGCAACAAGCACGTCTTAGAAGAATCAATATCCACAATTAATATTGCCATTATTAGAAACATAACCAACACTTTCATAAATGAAATTGCAAGGAAATTCAAATAAGGCAACTTCATAGCCCAAAACTATATTTTACTGCTAAAAAGAAAATTGGAGCTTGTCCTTACAACGCATAAAATGAAAACTATATTTCTAGATATTTCGAAGAGTAATAGAATTCAATTAAATTTACCTAACTCCCTAGTAGTAGTTCCAAATTTTGACCATCAAACCATGCGACCAAAGTCCATTTCTCACGATCGGACTTAGCTCACTTTACTCAAGCTTCCTTATTTCTTTTAGATTCTGCAATACCATCAAAATGTGATCATCACATTATGTATTAAGAGTATAAGAATAAGAACTTATGGAGTTAGATAATGGATGTACCTGAAGTAGAGTTGCACGAAATGACTTTACTATCTCTAAGATCTTTTAGGTATTTCGGAAGATTCGCTTCCAATGTCCCTTCAATTGGCAGTATAAACAAATGGACTCATTGGGTGTAACACCCAAAAATTCAAACCAATTTAAACTTTTTAAAACATTTCAAACCATTAATAATCATTACAACTTTGTTTTCAAAATGTATAATATCAGAGTTTTCCCAGAAACAAAGACAAGACATGAGGAGCTGTACGATTACGCCTTCGCCTTGCCGCGATCCCCTAATGTACCTGAAACAATAAACTGAAACTGTAAGC